TTCATTTTTGAAAGATATAAGATCCAATAGTCTAAACCTATATTCTCCGTGAAATAGCGTTCGGTCGAAATAAGGAATTACGAATAGGCTAATATTACTCCATGCGCGTTGCGGTTTCTCGCTTCATTTTTGAAAGATATAAGATCCAATAGTCTAAACCTATATTCTCCGTGAAATAGCGTTCGGTCGAAATAAGGAACTACGAATAGGCCAATATTTTGTATTAAGAGATTTAGAAGAAACTGTAAGTCAGCGTCTGACAAATCAGTTTTCCGTCGAGGAATGGAACTCATCGCGGTCACATTCTTTTTCGAAAGTTCTTGTATAGTGAGTCAAGTTTTTTTTAAGTAAATGTTCAAGCGTCGCTTCCAATGTTCTTTTATATTACCCTTGAGATTTTTTCGGATTTAGGGAATCGAATGGTGGTAAAACTACATAATTATAATCACTAAACAGATTAAACGTGGTATTTATTGTAATTTATCATGATACGCGTCGCGTGTAAAGTTGACACGTGAATATTACAGACGCGAAAAATCCGGACAATATCTTATGAAAGGTATTGTATATCGTAACTCAAGTGACTATTTGTTTTTAATTCAGACTATAGCAATTTTACTTTTAATAAATTATTACTTATAAATACAATAAACATTATTACTATATTAATGTGAATCAACAAAACACTTATTTATACTGTAAATCCAAAAACCCTTTAAATATAATTAAGAAAAATATAAAAGTAGCTTCTTTTTAAACAAGGTTTACAATTATTATTATATTTTGATGATAACTGTAAGATTTATACAAGAATGATATCTGTTTTCTAATACTTTTTTACTTTTATGATACAAAAAATAACTATCAAGCATAGACAATATTTTTTTTATTGCTATTCTGTCATATTAAATTTTCAAATATAAAATGAATGATTTTACATATTAGCCTGTAATAAAATGGTTTGAAAAAACTAATAGATATATTTGAAGATCCAAAACCAGAAAAAAGTTAAATATTTTACAAACAGAAAAGCATAAGTTCAAAGAAAGCCAGAAAATAATTAATGACTTTAAATAAATATTATAATAAAGTAATTAACTATAAAAATTAAATAAATATCAAAAAGCTAAAGAAAATAAATAAATAAATAAATAAAAATATATTAGAATAATATAAGAATAACTGAAATTATTTTATTTGTTAGGATAATAAATACAATTGTAAAAAAAGTTTTGTATTAATATTTATACAATATTTTGTAATGTTTAAATAATAGTATCAATAATAAAAAAAAACAATAAAATTTAAGTCAAAAAGAACAAAAATATTTTTTTTTTTTTAATGACTGGCATACACCTTGTTTATTGAATATTGTATTGAGTGCTCTTATATTTTGCAACAAAGTCAGATTCTATCTATTCTCTAAACTACCTAAGATAGCAAGCTACCTACTAGTCGGCTTGTTACTCTTTATGCCTCCTATATTATTAATGCCGAAGCTCTAATAGCATAAGTGGAGAACTAACTTGCCAGAATGTATGCCTCTAAGTCCTCATCTGCCATCCAATGAACAAAAACTTAGAAAACCATTTAAACATAGTTAGCCAGAGACTAGTTATATTCTATTGGCTCTAACTAGATTTAAAAAAATTTTTAAAAAAGTAAAAATAGGATACATATGTGTGTTTACATGTGAGTATCTATAATAATCTGCAAAAAAACCCCCTAAAACCTGCAGGACATATTTGTGAAACTACAAAGGAGAAAAAAATACTTATTGTTTTAAAGAAAAAACCTATTTGTATGCTATTGTAATTTTTATATTAATTTGTGATCAGTCTATACTCCTTATGTCTTTTTGTTAATCTTTATCTAGTCTGAAAAATTTTCAACTAGGATTGGCCATTTTCTTCCTGTTTTGAGTGGAGTGCTACTATTGTTATCCATTATGATCAGATGAAGTTCAGTTGCAAGATATTTAACTCCAAACTAAACAAAAGATTGGATACTGCGCCACAAGTAAAGTTTATAAAGAAGAGTGAAGAATGTTGATCTTTATTCCTGTTTGTGATTATGTATTTTGTCATGTCAACATTGTTGTTGTGTTTTGTTAACTTATATCTTTTAACTGTATAAGAAATATTATCTGACTTTTTATCATTAAGAAGTCAACACTAACTTCAATAATACTTTCAGTTTGCTATTCAAGGTGACTTGTTTGAGAATAAAGAGAGCTGTTTTTGGCCTTACAGCTTTTTTACTAGCAAAAACTATATCTCTAGAGAAAGTACAATGTGATGCTACTAATCAATGTATTTGTGAGTTCTTTAACAGAAGTTTCTCTCAAAAGAGATAAAACTTTCTAAAAAAAAATTTTTTAAGGAATATGTGATGAACAGGAAAGAGTTTTTTTTTGAAACAAAAATAATTAAATATACTTATATATTTGTAATACTATTCAAAAAAATTTATTTTAAAAGTAATTATTTTAAAAAATTAATAAAATAACTGCTTATAATTAAATTATAAGAAAATATATTATTTATATTTACTATTATAAATATAACTAATTTAAAAAAAGCAATTAAAATAATAATTAAAATTATAATTAATATTTTAAAAAAAGTAAATAAGAAAAGAAAAAAACAATAATAGTTGAAAATTAAAGTAATATATAAAAAGAAAATAAGTTTTAATATATTTGTTATTTGTGTTAAACTTGAAATTAAAAGATACTATAATTAAGAATAGGTCCTTAAATTATTTAGCATATTAAATTTTGCAGATTAATTATGTTTTTTTTGAAAGGACATAATTATTTATTCATTATTTTAATAAGAACATAATTCAAAAAACACTTGAATTAAGTGACCTAAATTGTAAAAAATTTTGTAGGTAGTTTTTTTTTAATCTTATATTTAAAAAAAAACTTTTTTAATAGTAAAGAACATTTGAATTATGTTCTCACCTTTAATTTAAGGACCTATCTTTAACTATAATAAAAATTGTTTGATTTTTTTTTTTTGTCTCTAATTAGATTACAATTTTATATATTTATTAATCTTTGAAAAAAATAATATATTAAATTTTAAGACTTTATATTAAAACTAAACTATATATATTACAAAATACTTATTAATAAGTTATTTATAAATTTAAAAAAAAAACTCTGACCCGTTTACCACTGATTTCTTGAAAATTTCCTTATATGGTAATTTTCTTGAAAGAAGCGCTTTTCTCTCTTTCTTCAATATGCCAACTATGCCATAAGCTCAAGGACATAAGGACTTTAAAGACCACTGTTGCATTGGGAT